ACTAGTTAATCCCTACTCATCCTTTCAGTCTCACCCTAGTATCACTTCCTCAGGGACACTCTCCCTGACCCCTAGAGTAGGTTAAATAATCCTTGTCATAGACCAAACCAGCAGCCCATACTTATCATGAGTCTAGTAATTATCATTTAACATCTCTTTTCCTTGCAGAGCAGACGCTCTATGAGGGCAGGGCCTACATCTGTCTTGTTCACCACCTTGGATCCTGGCATAGCGCCTGGTATACCAAGGCATTCCTTAGATATGTATCAAATAAATGAATGAATGTCATGTTCTGGCACAGTCTGTTTAAAATCCATCTACTTGATTTTTTTTAAAAAAGATCAAGAAAAAGAGAGCCAGTGAATGAAATAAAATTACTAAATTTACAAAACTCTTATCCAGAAAAGATGCCAAAGAGTAACATCTAAAGTTGCAAGCTTGTTAGTCCCATGTTTAAAAACCATTTAGTGGCTCTATAATGCCTATGTATTAATATTTAAGATTCAACATGACCTGACCCCAATGCAGAGTTCTCATCTCAGCTTTATCTCCTGCTCTTCCCCCTCACAAACTTTGTGCTAAGTCGATGATTTTCTATTACACTCTATGAATTCCTAGAGATTCCATTTAATCCCTTGGAAAAAAAGGAGTTATAGATTGAGCAAGACTCCTCCCTATCTCCCTCTACCTGACCTAAGTAAGAATAGCTTCTGTGCATCTATTTAACTTATTGAACTTTTTAAAAAACAGTTCTGCTAACTTGGGTGTGAAAATGTTTACCAGAGGTCCTCTCTGCACATCCCACTCATGTGGGAGTTTTGTGTAAAGAACACTAATACACAAAGCAAACAAAAGGAGAGCTGCTCTGGCTGCAGTAAGACAAACCACTGCCTGATTGCTCCTTGTGCCTCCCCAGAATACCCCACCTCAGCATTGCTCAGAACACCTGAGGCTCTGAGGAACCTATAAAACCACAGCTCTAAACAGGCCCCTAGACTTGTCATCTGAACTTTTTGCCATTGAGCCTTAGTTCATATTTTTGTCTTCAATTTGAAATGCTAACAAATTAAAATTCCATGAAAGAATTTGTTCCATGATATTATCAGTGCCTTGAAGAGTGCTGGGTAAACAGTAAGTACTCAATAAATACATGTTGAATGAATGATGTTCTTCCTTCTAAGCTCCTGTCAAAATCACTCTTCAGTGTCACACAAATGGAATCTTGTTTTAAAAAATCTTCCATACTCCTGCTACATAGAATTAAAATATGTGTTCTACAAATGTCAGGCAGTAAGTCAGACACTAGGGATACAGAACTTAAGACACAGTTCCTGCCCTTGAAGGTGCTCAGTCTGAAACTTTATACTTAAATATAGTCCTCATGCAATTCTACTTTATAGTCATTTATTTATTCATTCTACAACTACATGAATACCTATCACAAGACAAACACAGATCCTATATTATTCCTATTACCTTATTTATCTTAAAACTATCACAAAGATCAGACACTTAATTCTTGAATGGCATTTAAAATAATTACAGAAAAGTTCTTTAAAACATTTTCTAAAGTAAATGTTAGGAACTAAAATCATGTTTCCTAACTACTTCTCACTCACCTATTAATTACATAACCATATCCCTATAAAAACCAACTCATATTATGTCAAAAAAAAAGTTTTAAGGCTTCTCAGCTATACAAATGATAATACTACATAATAAATATTGCTCGAAACTATTTTAAAATGTAAAATGTGTCTACCCTTTGACCCAGCAATCCTACTTTTGAGATTATCCTAAATATAAATATCTATGCATGTACAAGGATGTATGTATATCTACTGGCCTAGAGGTTAGTGGAATATCATGAAATGAAAAAAGAAATTTGCAGAGAAATATGTATAGTATGATTCTATTTTTGTTATTGAGAACAAAGAGAGTATATAATTACATAAACACAAGCAAGGAGGTAGATGCTGTAGTCTGAACGTGTGTCCCTCCCACTTCCAAATTCATGCTGAAATTCTCACCGGCAAGGTGATGGAATTAGGACGTGGGGTCTTAGGGAGGTGATTAGACCATGAAGGCAGAGCCCTCATCAATGGGATTAGTGCCATTTAAAAGAGGCCAGAGAAAGATCCCTCATCCCTTCCACAATGTGAGGACACAACAAGATACTATCTATGAACTAGGAAAAAAGCCCTCAGAAAATATCAAACCTGCTGGGACCTCGATCTTGGACCTCCTAGCCTCCAGAACTGTAAGAAACAAATTTCTGTTGTTTATGAACCACTCAGTTTATTGTATTTTGTTATAGCAGCCGGAATGGACTAAGACAGAAGAATACAAACAAACTATTAACGTTGGTTACTCCACAAACTGGATGAAGAGAAAGAGAATTGCTTTCCAGATATTCCTTTAAGTTGTCTGACATAGGGCATATATCATTTTTGTAATTAAAAAATGAAAAACTTTATTCTTTTAAGTGTATATAAAGGCTGCTTTTCCTGTGCTTTAGTTCTAAATATGGGCACTCCCCAAGTTCTGGACATTTGACACACAATCATTTTACAAATACAACCTGCTGTGCTACATCAACTGATTTGAAGGGCAAAAGGGAGAGAGGGTAGAGGTTGTGCCTTGTGACAACTTTTCTTCTCACCAAGAGGCTGCACATGCTGAAGGGTCAGGGAGAAAAGGAGAATGTGAGAAGGCATTTAACACAATAAAACAATGTTAACAAGAAACAATAAAACAACATGAAAATGGAAATGACTGGCAGGTTCCCGAGCTTGTTAAAAATAAATAATTGAAACGTCAATTAACCCATAACGTATTTGAGATATTATATATTTCCTGTATATATCCAATATAATTGTGCAATGGGATGGCTTTGGGATGACTGCTACAATTCCCACCATCCCTTGATATCTGTACAGCACTTTATAGTTTACAAAGTTCTTTGATACACATGAATCAAATGTTCCAGCTAAGAGAAATCAATTAAAATACATACATCTATCATTACAAACATATGCAACAATTTAATCTTTGATGATTAAAAAGGTTGCAGACCATGAACTTGAAACATATGCTATGAGCTATTATGAACATCAATTTAAATTGTACAGTAGATAGGTATTTTCATAAACAGAAAATTGAAGCTGAGAAACTATAAGACCAAAAGTTTATTTTAACTTTTATAAGCAAAGGTCAATTTCTTTGAACAAAGTCTACCCTAGTGGGCTATGACTGACAGTTAATCCACTTACAAATTTGTACATAAATACCAAACGTGGGAAAATCTGGGCCCTAATCCTTTTTTTTTTTTAAAGAGACAAGGTCTCACTTTGTCACCCTGGCTGGAATGCAATAGCATGATCATAGCTCACTGCAACCTCAAACTTCTGGGCTCAAGCGATTCTTCTGCCTCAACCTCCCAAGCAGCTAGGACTACAGGTGTACACCACCACACCCAGTTTGGGCTCTAATCCTTGACAAAATATTTCTCATTCTACTTCTTCCCTAGAGGGTTAAAAAATCCTTTATGTACAGTTTCACATTATGCATGATTTTGCAAAAAGGATTGATAGAACTGTATATAGATTTTCTGAGTTGAAAAATTGTAAAATCTAATTTAAAAAATCTAACTTGGCACTCAACATATATACCAGTATGCCAAACACTATAAATGAAAGATACATATCCATTTACTTCCAGACACAGCAAAGGTAAACAAATTTCATAATGCTTTCTACCCACTGTATGTATTTTACAGATAAAACTTTTCCAGGAAAACAGGCCATATATATGAAGCCAATAAGATATACTTTCCAGGCATTTAGGAAAGGCCAATATAAAGAAGGGAATGAGGGACAGATCAATTCACAAAGAAACAAGACATCATAAATCATCTAAAATGAATAAGAACTAGAATTCAAGAAAGAGATTCAAATGAGGTTAAGTGACAGCCATACAAAGTAAATCCACTTAAAATGGAGACCAATTTTCATATTAAATAGTGAGAGTAAAAAGTCTGATTAGAACATTCTCTTGAAAACATTTTTAAATAGTTTATCTTATATGTAATAACATTTGAGTTATAATGAAAACTATGTGCTTATTCTTAAAACATAAAAACAGTGAATCAAATGTTTTGTTAGAAAAATAAAAATTTTTTCCAACAAATTGTATGTTAGCCCAATTCAAAATAATTTGATTTTCACAGAGCAGTCATAAAGAAGGTTTGTTTTGATTTGAAAACACTCAAAGGTTGCATTAAGCTTCTCAAATGCCTCTCTTAATACTTTAATCTTCAAATCATTCTCTTTTCAATGTCTATAACTCAAAGTCATCCTTGTTGGTTTCTCGTGTACTTTTTTTTTCTTTGAAACAGGGTCTCACTCTATTGCCCAGGCTAGAGTACAGTGATGTCATCACAGCTCACTGAAACCTCAAACTTCTGGGCTTAAGCAATCCTCCTGCCTCAGCCTCCCAAGTAGCTGGGACTACAGGCACATGCCATCATACTCAGCTTTTTTATTTTTTGTAGAGATGGAATCTTGCTATATTGCTCAGGCTTGTCTTGAACACCTGACCTGAAGCCATCTTCCGGCCTCGGCCTCCCAAAATGCTGGGATTACAGGTGTAAGCCACTGCACCTGGCCTCTTGTTTACATTTTAACTGGTTTGTTGAATGCTGTAACATGCAAAATTCACCTAGGGAGCTTAACACACAAACAAAATTAAGAGGGGTTTTTGAAGGGGACTAATTTTGTAAGTGGTACATTAGTTAGTATTTTGCTTTCCTACACAATTCCTCCTGTAACCTCATACCTGCCGGGACTTGGATGACAAATTCATAGCCAATGAGAACCCCCTGTGTATTTATTTTGCCTGTATATATAACAAAACGGGATAGACATCTTAATATCTTAGGATATATACAATATATCCTGGTCAGGACATTTATAAGGGACTTTTTTAATGTAATATAATACTGTACCAAGGTTGTAAGGGAGTTCCTTTTCATATAGAGTCTTTCCAAGTACTGTAGTCCCTCATCCTTCAGTAACTCCAATGGGAAATGATGCAGATTCCTATAATTTAAGAACAAATTCTTGTGCTTTTCCAGCCTTGCCACAGAGATCGTCTTACAAAGTTCGGATGCCATGACTGAGTATATCCCATTAGGCACACTGCAGCACTACATCTTGTCAAAATTGGTCCATTTCTATAAAGAAAACAAGAAATTTAATCGTTATAAGACTTCTTACAAGCCATATAAACCAGTTAGCATATAGAGCTTGCAGATACTAAAAAGATAACTATATATTCAATCCTATATTTTTCTTTCAAAACAACTAAAGTGATCACACATATTTAAGAGATTTAAATGAATTAACAATTTAATAAAAATACTCTGGTTAAGCAATATTTACTACTTATTGGAAAAAGTCCTGATGGGAAAAATAGTTTTTGGACTTGAGATAGGAATCCTTGTCTAAAAGAACAGAAACCAGTTTCATAACACACAACCAAAGGAAAAGTTTAAAAATCAAATGCAGAAAACAGCATTTCCTTTTTGAACTACTTCATTTTGTACTTAGCTTAAGGTATTTCAAAAATATTAAAATATATTAAAATACATGTTATTTATATCTAGAGCACTAACAGCTTCATTTTCTTCATGTCCTAGTATCTAAATATTGTCCTACATTCTCATTTTTTCTTTCATCTATTTTCTTCCTTTTTAGCTTTGCAGACCATTAGAAATAGCAAAGGGCCATGCAGTTTCATTATTTTAAATTATTTCAATGAATGAAGAAACACTGCACTAAGAAACAAGAACCCTGTATTATTCTATTACAATCCCTCTGAGCCTCAGTTGCCTAATATATAAAATGAAGATAGCAATTAATGTGTTAGTTTAAAGGCCTGAGTCTAGGACAGATTACTTAAATTCTCTTCTAGCTCTAAAATTGACAAGGATAGGAAGAGAAGCAACATTTGCCATCTTATCCCCTGGTACAAAGCTGAAGCAAACTTCGCCATCACTTAACACAAAAAGAAACAAACTCAGGGCTTCAATAATTTGTCCAGGGTCAAACAGCTCACAAGGGATAAAAGCAAGGGGTTGAGGCCAGGTACAACGGATTTCAAAGCCTGGGTTCTTTACAGACACTGACTCACAGGACTCCACAGGGTACTAAGGAAATGCTAAAACAATTAAAACAAGTTGAGCTTTGCTCAAAGATTCTACTCTCCGTTTTCCTGGGCACCTTTTCTAAACTCTTTATTAGAAAGCACCTTTTAAAGGAATTTATTTTTTCTTAAGAAAAAACAATTTCATTGGGAATTAATACCAATTTAGTATAAAATATAATAACATAAGCTTTCAATAAACAGGGTTTTATAACTTTTTGGTTATTTTCTATTATTTCCAAACTCTAATTTCTAGCTAATTAGGCAGCACTTGTCATTTTATATAAAAGAGCAAATAATACGAAATATTCAATAATATACCCAATGCAACACAAGAATCCAATACTTTTCCATATTTATTCTACCTACTCACCTATTTTGTGACAGAAATTATGTGACTTTGTGCAAGATACTCAATCTTTTGACATCTTCCTTCTCTCACCTATAGAGCAAAGGGAACTAGACTACAAATAACATCAATGATTCTGTGTAGAAAGTGAAACTTGCTAGGTAATTATTCACTGAACTAATAAACTGGAAGCTGTTTAGATGTCTCACAAGCATCTCAAACTTAACACATTCAAAGAGAGCTTTTGACTTTCATTACCAATCCAAACCTCCCCAGTTTTTCCGATCTCAGTAAATGGTGCACACTTCCAGCCACTTCACTGCTCAAGCTAGAAAATTGGAAGTCATGAATGATTCCATCTTGTCATGCAGCTGCCACCTCAAATCTATCACAAGGCTAATGGTTCCCATCTCCAAAACACAGCTCAAATCATCCACATCTCTCCATCTGCCAAAACCACAAGCCACGGTCATCTCCTGCCTGGGCAGCTATATAGGTGGTCTCTCTGTGTCCACTCTAGTCACTTCTGACACATTAAACACAGCAGTGAGCCTTTAAAAATGTAAATCTAACTATGTCACAATCTCTCTCTCAGGCACACGTCTTACTAGATAAACTTGCCAGAAGCTTCTTATTTAGAAAATCAAACTTATAACAGGCCTTCAGAGCTCCTCACCATCTGTCCCCACCCACTTCTCCAGCACTTTCCCTGGCTTCTCACCAAGCTCCTGGGCATTTCTAATCCCTCAAACTACCAAACTCTTCACAGCACTTGCTGCTCTCCTCTTAGCCTGGAAAGCAATGACCCATTATCCTCCAGGTTTCAATGTAAAAATCACTTCCCTATCCCAAAGTATTCCCGTGGTATTTTTTCAGAGTAACCCAGCTGTTTGTTTTTTCTTCATCAGCGTCCTCACAATTTGTAATCTGTGTATTTATCAGTGCACCTGTTTCCTGCCAATCTAGCCAAAAGTCTGTAAAATCTTGAGGGTAGGGATTTTGCTGCTTGCTTTATACTTGCATGCCTGTATTTAGTACAGTATCTAAAAGCAAGCCCTCAAACAGCTGATGAATGGATGAAATTAGGACATGTGGAATAACACTGCAAAGCTGATTTTTCATCTACCTATCACAAGACTACTTATAGAGTCTATAAACTTGCTGCATGCCATAAAGATCTCTAATCCTTACAACTATGCATTGCAATAGACATTCTTTAGACATTTTACAGATGAGGAAACTGAGTTTCTGAGAGAATACCCCACCAGAATTCCAACACAGATGGACTAACTGCAAAGACTGTGCACTGCCCTACAATGCAGCCTTTCAATGCATTTCAATGTGGTCAGTGCTTCTTCCTATCATTTACGTGATAGGAAATGGTAGGCAAAGCTTATACAAGACTTACTTCTTCAAGCAAAATTATATCCAAAGCCACACTCGCTGAAGGAAGATTCAGTAAGAGAATTCACTGTAACCTGACCGCTTTCCTTCTGAAAGTTCTGGCTGGGATTGACTACCTCAAAAACATCATTACCCCTGTTAAAATGCTACAAAGGCAGGCTGGGAGATAAAATATACACAAATGAAATCCGAAAGCTGCCAATAATCAACAATGCTCACAGTTTTCCAATATGCATTCATTGGAAATATACAGCCTTTTAACAAGATAATTTTCTTGCCTCATTTTACTTTAACACCTCGTATCTACAGTTAAAGCAAATGGTGTATTTAATATTAACTGTATACAGCTAGCTGCACCTCTGAGTTTTCTGACACCAATCTATCTTACTACTTAAAAACACAGACACACACACAAAAAACACCTCCCATCTTAAGTAAATTCCACACATTTTAAGCAGGAGTGTTTTAAAGGAAAGGAATCCCTTAGACTGACTTCCTTGTACTCAATTCCTCATTCTCATTTCCTAACACTAGAGATTAGAGGATTGTAAACTGTATATTAGAAGAATTTGTAAATGGTTTCTTTCTCAGTACCGTACTAAGAAACACTGACAGAAGTCTTAGGCAAAACACATGCCGTTTTGCCTGAGTTAGCCACACACTAAGGTCGTTACAGTTAAGAAGCAGCGAGCCCAGTGGCAGGGATTTCCCAGACTCGGTACCGGGATTCTCCGGTCCGAGGAGACACCGGCCGCGGAGGGGCGGAGGACCCGCCAGTCGCGGCGACCCTAGGCCCAGACAGCCCAGTGGTCCCACTCGCAGCGGCCTGGACGCTTCTGCGGGATCCGGTATGGGGCGTCCCCGCGGTATGGGGGGCCAGGCCAGGGGGCCTTGCCAAGTGAACCACCCGACACCGCCGACAGCAGTACTCACCTCGGCGCCGACAGAGCCAGCTCCGGAGCGCAGGCGGCGTTGGACCCCAAGCGGAGGGACGGTGGGCGGGGCGGGACGCCGGGAGAGGGGCGGGACTCTAGGGGCAGGGCAGAACCCGCGCTGGAGGAGCTGGGGAAGAGGGAGCCGTGGAAACGAGGATGAAACCTCACGATAAGTCGCCTGTGTTCTCGCGGTTTTATGATAGGTGGGGCGAAAGGCTCGTTTTCCAAGCGATGTGCCTATTGGCTGAGATCGCGGTTTCCTCCAGACTGGCCCCGCCTACGGCTCTAATCTTGCTTCCGGCTACAGCTGGTAGCTTGTTGTTGAGAGAGCGGCTTTTTGCTTACGTCCTGAAGGGGTAATTTATCTGGCTCCAACCTCAGGAATTGCCAGTTACTGACCTGTTCTTTCATTCATAAATTCATTAAGGCACTTGGACTCTCATTCAATGCATATGCTAAGGGTTTACAACAATAACATCCGATGTTAATGTGTACCAGGCAGCGTTCTGAGAGCTATGCGTAAATTATCTCATTTAACTCTTAACAGAAATTCCCGAAACTGGAACAATTATTAATACTAGTCTGCCGGGTGAAAAACCGAGGCCGGTAGGTAGGTTTATGTAACGTAGCCAAGATTAGTTAACAAATAATGAGTCTAAACACCGGATTTGAGGGCTCACTGTACGCACTGATAGGTTCCAAAGATGAGGAGGTAACCTAGTCTCTGCCTTTCAAACACCCAAGGTCTATTGTGAGAAACGATTGCTAAAAAGGACAAAAAAACAACTTAGTTAAATATTGTGGGCAGTTCCTAGCATGAACTGAGTAGGTTATCAATAAATATTTCTTCAAGACAAAAAGTCCTATGTCAGCGAAAGAGACATCAAAGAAAGAGGGCTTTACGTTGGTTAAAAAAAAAAATCTGAGCATTGTTCGACAGTGTTAAAAAACAAAACAAAACAGTTTCGAAATACCATGGCCATTAACATGGCAACTTTCCTTGTGAAATGAAGACTTTTAAAATTTTTCTTCTACTGTAATTGCTGTTATTTGTTGTCCTTTGTGAAGCTTGATGCCTATTAATTTGCTAGAGGCTGCCAGGCAATCTTAACTTTATGATGAATTAGTTTTACGTTAGCTTATTTCATTACTCTTAGAGATGAATAACCTAGAAAGTAGAGTTACATTAAAAATAACACCGGGTCTAAAACAAGGTATGAGTTATAGTAAAATATCAATGATCTATTTGTTAAAATCTGGTCTTCAGGAGTTCCTGAAGCATAGTATATGCCATATATTTCTAAAGCCTTTTATATAGCCTCATAATGCGTAAGAATTTGTGGTACTCAAATTTTTTGTTGAATTGAAAATGAGGAAACCTACATTTTGTGTAAAAACAAAAATCAGCCCAAATAGTAAGACTTGCTGCCGGTATGTGAAGTCACCAAAAAAAGGATTAACGATAGTCAGAACAATTTTTTAAAAAGTAATCAGCCTCAGTTTTCAGTTTTTTAAAACAAGGGAAATATTGTTTTTTCAATACATGAATTTAACATATAATATTTGATCATGAAAAATGAATTATGTTAAAATAACTTTTACCCCCTCCCCAAATTGACACAAAAATTGCCAAGTGATTATATGTGATAGTATAGTATCCTATGACCACTCTTAGATATTCTCTCAATTTGTAGAGTCAGTTAGCACATTTTGTCTCACTTAAAACAAACGGGGAAAAAAACCTCTAATGTAAATTGTTGATTTTACAATCTTTGACAAACTTTAACATCAACAAGTAGCAATACCACTTTAAGAAAATTCCAAGGAAAAGACAACCCCATTTTAAAATTCCCACCTCTGGCTCCCAAGGATTGGGTTGCAAACTTCGACAAATTACTCTCCTCCACTCCCTATTGGTGATTGCTCTATCATTCATTCTTCTGCCTGGAGTTTTGTACGGAACCCGTTGCTGCCGTAATTTAGCTTGAGACTGCCCTACTTTACACTTTTTCATGGTTATCAATCTGTACAAAGAATCACCGAACTGATACAGCGGGAGCCAAACTGGCAAATCAGGCTGCCGAGACAACTGTGCGATTCGCTCGAAAAAGAAATGGAGAACCTCTCAAACCGCCTCGGTAAACTGACAAAGAATTTTACGATGTAGCTGGAGACTTGAGAGTTAAAGAAACTTTCCGGTTTTTTGCTAGTTTTAAAGGAGTAAGTGTCAAAGGAAAACCAGAAAATACAGGCACAATCTAACGGTGGCAGGAAGAAGAGTTTTCAGAGAGTGTTTTTTTCTCTTTAGTGTGAGGATGGAAGGCATCATCCCCAGATTATCAGTGGATTTTTAAAAGGTAAAGGAAGCAAGATGATAAGATTAATTTTAGATTATTTTCTACTGTAAGAAACTGCTTTGTTGTTATTGTTCCTTAAATATGGATATAGAAGAACATTTAATAATATGGTAACTTTTCAATGAAATGAATATATTTGTTTGTATATTATTATCACACCAGCATAGCAGACAATACATCTATTAAAAGATATGAGAACGTCAGAGTTGGCTTTGGACCCAAACTTTGTGTATATTTATAGATTAGAAAATCCAGGGACAGATCTGCTAATGGCCAAGCAAATGTAGTATTGGTATCTGAAGCAGAATCAGCAGATAATTAATGTAAGGATAAATTCCCTGAAAAGAAATCCAGCATTTATATTTTCAAAACGATATTTTGTATTAAAACTAAAATATAAAACTTATGGAAAATATCGATAAACAAGAATAACTATTTCTTGAATGGCCTCTGTTAATCCATATATGGAAATATAAAATAATAAAATATAGTCTCTCAAGAGGCTCATACTCTAGCTCAGGAGCAAATGAGGCTCAGAACATTTAAATTAAAACTTCTGAACAGTTCTTAATGCCCAAATGACTGCTATAGACCATAGGTAATTCAGGAGCTCAGATCAGCGTGAGCTGAATTATTCAGGCAGGGCTTTGCAAATTATGGGTAAGACCTAATTTGGGCCTGAGCAATGGGCCAAATTTCAGACAGAAAAGAAGGGAAGGGACATCCCTGGCAGTAAGTCATTAGCCAGTATGTGCAGTCTAAGAATGAGTTGGCTCTGACTGCAGCAGGAAGTTCATTTGGGAACTTTGGTTAAAAACGAAAAGCATGAGAAGTTACATGAAGGGCCAAAATTGCCAGAATTAAGGAGATACCTGGGTTTTGAACAGGAGGGACACTTTATGAAAGGAATATTTCAAGACGGTAAAACTGACAGTGCGACTTTAGATGGCTCCAAGGGCAGAGACCAGAAGCTAAAGGGCTCAATACTATAAATGCTGGCACACAGAGGTAACTAAGCCTCTTAAGACATTTTATCCAAATACCTTTACTTTACCATTGTTAAATAACATAAATCTTGATGCATTTCTTTGTAGTCTTCAAAATCATTCAGTTTATTTATTAAGATTTTGGGGGCCAGGGACAGTGGCTCATGCCTGCAATCCTAGCACTTTGGGAGGCCAAGGTGGGAGGATTGCTTGAGCTCAGGAGTTCGAGACTAGCCTGAGCAAGAGCGAGACCCTGTCTCTACTAAAAATAGAAAAATTAGCATGGCATCATGGTGCAGGCCTATAGTCTCAGCTACTAAGGAGGCTGAGGCAGGAGGATAGCTTGAGCTCAGGAGCTTGAGTTTGCAGTGAGCTGTGATGACACCACTGCACTCTAGCCTGGGGACAGAGCAAGACTATCTAAAAACAAAAAGATTTGTGGGGCCTCTGCCACATTGTCCTGGGGAATCAGGGTTGCCCTATTTTATAAAAGTTTGATTGTCATAAGATATATAAAACCAGAATTACACATAAAGCTGCATTATGGTTTCATAGCTATTTTTTAGCAGCTTTAATGAAGTATAATTTACATACCATAAAATTCTCATGTTTTAAGGATCCAACTCAATGATTGTTTTAGAAAATTTAGAGTTGTGCAACCATCACCACATTCCAGTTTTAGAAAATTATCATCACCCTAAAAAAGATGCCTTGTCTCCATTTGTAGGCAACTGCCCACTCCTATCCCCAGCCCCAGACAATCATTAACTTCTGTCTCTATAAATTTACCTTTTATAGGCATGTAAACGGAATTATACAATATGTGATCATTTACATCTGGCTTCTTTTACTTAGCATGCTTTTGAGGTTCAACTGTGTTTTAGTATGTATTCCACATACTGTATTCCTTTTTATTTGCCAAATATGGCAATATCATGTTTTATTTATCCATTCACCAGTTGTCAGACATTTGATTGATTCCAGTATTTAATTGTATTAATTACAGTTGTATTACAGTAAATACAGTATAGTATTTAGCATTATGAATAATGCTGCTATGAAGATGGGTACAAGTTTTTGTGTGAACATGTGTTTTCAGTTCTTTTGGATATATGCCTACGAATGAATTTGCTGAGTCATATTTCAAAGGTTAAACTCTTAAGTTTAACTTTTTGAGGAGTTGCCTAACTGCCTTCCAAGGTGATTGCACCATTTTACATTTCCGCCAGAATGTGTGAGGGTTCCAGTTTCTCCACATCCTTGCCAACACTTCTTATTGTTTGTCTGATTTATTATAATCATTCTGGTAGGTATGAAGTTGTATCTCATTGTAGTTTTTTGATTTGTTTTTTCCTAATGACTAATGATACTGAGCATCTTTTCATATGATTATCAGCCATCCATATGTCTTCTTTTGTAAAATATCTCTTCAAATATTTTGCTTATTTTTAAATTGGGTTATTTGTCATCTTATTATTGAATTGTTATTGTTATTTATATGTTCTGGATAAAAGTTCTTTATCAGATATATGATTCATAAATATTTTCTTCCATTCTGCAGGTTGTCTTTTAACTTTAGTGATGGTGTCTTTTGAAGCAACAAAGTTCTGTATTTTGATGATCCAATTTATTTTTTTCTTTTATCACTTGTGCCGTTGGCGTTGTATCTTAGAAATCTTTGCCTAGCTCAAACTCATGAAGATTTACTCCTATGTTTGCTGAGAGTTTTAGTTCTTACTTTTAGGTCTTCGATCCATTTGGAGTTAATTTTTATATATGGTGTGAGGTAGAGGTCCAACCTTATTTTTTTGCATGTACCTATATAGTTGTTCCAGCACCATTCATTGAAAAGACTATTCTTTCCCCACTGAATTAATCTTGGCACCCTTGTCAAAAAATAATTGACTATATATGTAAGCATTTATTCTTGGACTGTCGGCACTATTCCATTTTTCTGTATGTCAGTCCTTATGCCTATACCATCCTGATTTGTTGGGGTTTTTTTCCCTAGATTTATTGAGGTATGATTGAAAAATAAAAAATTGTATATATTTGAGGTGTGCATTGTGGTGTTTTGACATAAGGTATTTTACACAAGGTGTACCCTTGTGTAATGATTCCCACAATCAAGCTAACTCATATATTCATCTCCTGACAAAATTATCATTTTTTCTGTGGTGAAAACACTTAAGATCTATTCTCTTAACAAACTTCAAGTATATAATATATTATTATTAACTATAGTTACCATGCTACACCTTATACCTCTAGAATTTATTCATCTTATAACTGAAAAATTTTAAGTACAAAACTTTTGATTACTATAGTTTCATAGTAATTTTTAAAATTGGGAAGAGTGAATCCTCCAACTCTCTTCTTCTTTTTCAAGATTGTGGGCCTCTTGCATTTGCATGTGAATTTAAGGATTAACTTGTCAATTTCTGCAAAAAAAAAAAAAGGACAGCTGGAATTTTAATAGGGATCATGTTAAATCTATAGATCAATTTGAGGAATATTGATATATTAATAATGTTGAGCCTTGTAATCTATGAACATGGAATGTCCCTGTATGTATTTAGATCTTAATTTCTTTCAACAATGTTGTATAATTTTCAGTACAAGTCTTATACTTCTTTTGTTAACTTTATTCCTAAGTATTTTATTCTTTTTGATACTATAGTAAATGGAAATGTTTTCTTAATTTCATTTTTAGATTATTTATTGTTAATAATAGAAATGCAATTTTTGATTCTTCACTTTGTATCCTATGGCCTTGCTGAACTTGTTTAGTAGTTGTGGTATGGGTTTTATCAATTAATTGATTGATTGATTGTGGATTCCTTAGGATATTCTATATAGAGAATCATGTCATCTGATAATGAAGTTTTATGTCTTCCTTTCTAATTTGCATGCCTTAATTTATTTTTCTTGCCTTGTTGCTCTGGCTGGAATATTCATTACTCTGTTGAATACAAGTGGTGAGAGCAGTCATCCTTGCCTTGTTTCCAATCTAAGGAGGAAAGCATTCAAACGTGCATCATTAAGTATAATGTTAGCATTAGGTTTTTTAAAATCAGGTGTTTATCAGCCTTTTATTGGGTTGGGGAAGTTTTTATCATGAGTGGGTATTGGATTTTGCCAAATGTTTTTCTGCATCTACCAAGATCATCATGTGGTTTTAGTCTTCTATTCTATTACATCAATGATTTCAGATGTTAAACCAACCTTCCATTCCTGGGATAAATCCCCCTGATCATAATTTATAATCCTTTTTATATGTTGCTAGATTTGGTTTGCCAATATTTTGTTGAGGATTTTAACATCCATATTCATGAAGAATATTCATTTGTCATTTTCTTGTGAAGTCTTTTTCTGGCTTTGGTAGGTATCAGGGTAATAATACTGGCCTCATAAACCAAGTTGGAAAGAATTCCCTTCTCTATTTTCTGATACAGTTTACAAAAGATGCATATTGTTTCTCCTTTAACGGTTTGGTAGATAGATATATCACTGATACCATGTAGGCCTGGGCTTAACTTTGTATAAATATTTTAATTACTAATTTAATTTCTTGTTACAGGTCTATTCAGATTTTCTATTTTTTTTAATACAGTTTCAGTATTTTGTATCTTTCTCAAATGTTTTCCTAGTGCTTCAGCTTACATGTGGGTAAGGTTGTTTTTTTAACTAGTACACTCTCAAACTGTCATAATGGTGGTTATTTCCTAAGAGTCACTGCCCTGAGGGCTCCTGCCCCTCCCCGAGGCCCTTCTACATTTCCCAAGTCAGCACCCAAAGGTTAACACCAGGAACAGCAGGGGACCTCCAGCCTAGTTGCCACCTATACAGATTGGTTGGTCCTCCTGCTATTCTAGTTATTAAATATTGTGAACATCACCTCTAGAAATGGAAGACTGAGATCCTCCTTCAGACCTCTTCTCCCTCACACCTTGATCTGGGGCTGATCATGTGCTTCAGCATTCTATTGGGCAGGTCTGGCAGAAAAAACAGCATCAATGGATTGGGTAAGTCTAACTGGCAGTTGTGGGTCCTGTTAGAGGGGCCTGGGAAGCTGAACCCAAGGCTGCCAGAGAGAGGATGGTGTGTGGGTCCTGGGCTGATTTCTAATGAAATTTTAAGTCCCAGCTATGGCTATTACAAAGAAAAAAAAAGTGGCTGATGGTAAGCATGTAGTTCAAAGTAAGTGAACTAACGGAAGACTAAGTCTTTAGATGAAAGGTGTCGCTATAGGATGCCAAAAACATTGAAACAGACATATTTAAAGCAAGGTCAGTGACTCAAATGCCTGCAGAAGCCAGATAGGTAATATTCCTCCTCTTTTCATTGATTCAGAGATGCGCATTTCATTTGGCATTTAAACATCTGTGAAATTAGAGTGCACATTACAATTCCAAGTCATGAATGGTATATAGCAGCATCTTATAATCAATGGTGCTTTAGATTAGATGAAATACAGGAAATGAATGGCATGGGCCAGTAAAAGCACATCCCTTTACGTAGGCCTTTAACTTTAGAAAGAGAGAGATGGATACAGAGACCTGCTCTTGTAGAATAAGAAAAATAACACAAGAGCAATGACAAAAGGCAACTACTGTGCTGCCTCCATGTCCAGGAGCCAATAGGGAGTGGTAGCACCTGGCAAACAGGAGAGTGTCCTTTCCTCCAGGGACAGCCGCCCTTCCGCCCTGGCCAGTTGTTGCCTGTGGTGATATAGGTCCAGTGTTCACAAGTACTCTGAGTTTTCAAAGGAAGTCAGAAACCCAGAAATCTAGATGTTTATGTGAAACTCCTAATTTTAAAATAACGCCTCAGTTTTTTAACTGCCAAAAAAAAAAAAAAGTATGTACAAATGAGATTCGGCCTATAAGCATTCAAATTATACATAAAACCTCTGTTTTAAGGAAGCAATGTTAAGAGACAGCATGAGACAAACCACTTCTTGCTGTTAAGCCAGAAAAGAAAAATTAACCCCATTTCAAAGTTTAACACTAAGTTCAGAGTCCTAGAATGACAAATAGTGCCGGGCTTATTTTCCTATGTCATTTTTAGACTTTCATTCTGCCTCCCCCTAAATAGAAGATAAGAAAATGTGTAAGAATTCCAGGTTGCAGTGAGCTGTGATTGTGCCACTGCACTCCAGCATGGGCGACAGAATAAGACCCTATCTCTAAAAAAGTAAAATAAAATAAAATAAAATAAAGAATATGTGGGTAAATCTATTGAAGATGTTACCTTCCTGATTATAAAAACATATGATCACTTTAAAAAATGCATGCTTAGGTTTCCAAAGCAACAGCATTTGCTTCCCACTGCTATAGACTGTGGTCAATGAAAGGCACGATGATGTGGCGGAAAATCACCAAATTATTAGAAGACCAGGGTCCTGGTTCCGACCATGTGATGTTGTATGAGTAGTTTAGCTTTACTCAGCTTCATTGTGCTCATTTATAAAATGGGACTAACGATAACCTGCCCTCTGTATCTTTTTTTTTTTTTTTTTTTGAGGCAGAGTCTCACTGTGTTGCCCGGGCTAGAGTGCCATGGCATCATCTTAGCTCACAGCAACCTCAAACTCCTGGGCTCAAGCGATCCTCCTGCCTCAGCCTCCCAAGTAGCTGGGACTACAGCATGCACCACCATGCCCGGCTAGTTTTTTCTATATATTTTTAGTTGTCCAATTAATTTCTTTCTATTTTTTTAGTAGAGACGGGGTCTCGCTCTTGCTCAGGCTGATTTCGAACTCCTGAGCTCAAACAATCTGCCCACCTCGGCCTCCCAGAGAGCTAGGATTACAGGCGTGAGTCACTGCGCCCGGCCAGCCCTCTGTATCTTACATGTTTGTAATAATAGCCACATGAGTTAAAATATGTGAAAGATAAAATGTTAAGTAAATATCAGTTAGTTAGTATTGCCCAAATCACAAGGGTAGTTGGACAGCACAGGTTCTTCAAGCTCAGATTCCTCATCCCTGTCTACTGCTCTTTCTCTAGACCATGGGACCTGTTCAAATGGTCGTCTCATCAGCCAATGGGTTGAGTAGATGAGAAAGCATAAGGCAAGAAATTATTCAAAAAAATTCAGCCAACATTTTGAGATCTGAAATAGCACTGAGTCTCTGTATAGCATGGCTTAGACAAAGCTTAGATGTTAAACTGGAAGGATTGGCCTTGCACATTTTTAAGAGCTACCCAGGAATGAGAGCATCGCCTGAATTGGAGATCAGTCTCTGTAGCTTTCTCACAGTTTGACCTTTAGCTGCTTCCTTCCCTCTCTGTTGCATATTTTCATTCTATATTGCTTTATGAGGAAAAGAAAAACTCCTACTTTATTTCTTCTTGGTGAGCATCTTTTCTGTTGAAAATGTAAAGCTGTTTTGGATTTTTTAAGGAGTGAACACACTTTACCTTAGTCACTATATCCAGTCTAACTTTTCAATGCTTACCTCTAGCCATCTCAAATCCTGTTTGGAAATAAGGAAAAACTATTAACTTTAAAAAGATTTAACTCAGAACTAGTGACATGTTTCTCATTTCTAAGTTAGACATTGTTAATAAATTTTCTCCCTCAACCTCAAATTCAATTTAGTTGAAACTAAATTGATTGTCTTATGCACAGGAGCACTTCCCTTTATCTTGCTACTTCTGTTTATGGTATCACTACTTTTAAGGGTCAGTAAACTTTTTCTGTAAAGGATAGTAAATATTTTAGGCTATGGGGACCATAGGATTTCAGTCACAGCTGCTCACTTCTGCTGTTGTAGCACAAAAGCAGCTATAGACAATGTGTAAAGTAAGTGAATATGGCTGTGTTCCAATAAAACTTCATTTTATGAAAACAGTGGGCAGGATTTGGCCCATGGCCATAGTGTACCAACCTTTGTTCTAGAGTCCCAGGATGGAAACGTCACAGTCAGTCTTGACTGTCCTCCTTTAGTGTATGCGTCGAAGCAGCTCTCGAGTTGCATTCATTATTCCTTTCAGTAATTGCCCTCATTGCTACCTTCGCTTCCCTCCCCACTGCTACTCTGCACCTGAATTCATTCTGTACAATTGCAGTAACATGCTGAGTGATTTTTTTTTCAACTGGAGGTAAGGGAGCGACTGCAGGAAATACCTATTTACTGAAGAGCTATCAGAATTTCTTGGGGGAAGTTTTAAGAAACATCAGGAATATTATAATTTTATCTTTAGGGACAATGCCTACTTTGTCAGAATATAAACTACAGAAAGTAAAACTTGATGACATCTTCTTGGATGATGGGTCATAGTTAAAAATGGTTGTAGAACGTTGCTCAGTGTCTTCCCAAGGTATGCAGTGCTTACAATTGTGACGTTAAGTGGAACACAGACAAGCTTTTAAAATACTATACCTACGCTTTTATTTTAATGTGTATTAGGGGAAAATGTGGCTAGCACAGCAAACCCATAATGCCATTTATTATTTATTAGGGTGAAGCTGAAGTAAGGATTTAAGTTTTTTAAAAGTGTGTGGATTTAAAGAAAAAGTTAATAGTTCAAGCAGAATGCAGATACAGTAAAAGTCATCAGGATGGTACTAGAATATCTGAAGTTTGAAAATCAGTGACCACTTTGTCTTCTGTAGTTTGATTATAATTTATTTGTCTACTAGTTACAGGTCAATGTCACAGGAGCATTTTCATCCCTCTTTCCTGATAAAAACTTTCAGTGGCTCACCACTTCCTGCCCAGTAAAGTCAATCAAACTTACCCTGAAATCAATACCTTCTTAGCCTGAAATCCAGCCTTCTACTTTTCTCCTATCTCAGGGTTTCCCAAAAAATGTTTTAAAATTGCTAGATCCCTCGGATTTAATAGGTACTCCAGAAAAAAAAGATAATCTCATGGTCAAAAAAGGTTGGGAAAGTGCTGTATACTGTACCACTCTCTGGGACATTCACAAGGTATTATACCACATTAAAAGGTTTGGGAAGACCTGAGATAAACCTGTCCATGTTTACCTGTTTATTTTATCACAGAATCCTCCTTTTGTAGAACCAATATTTGGTTTACCAACTCATTTGATCACCTTTGTCAATAACCCTCCTTTTTGGAACTCCTTAATGAACAAAGAATGTTTGATTTAGTTGAAACTGGAAATCAGCCTTTAAATTTCACCAAGAAGTCAGTACTAGCCACCATAATCTTTCAAGATATGGTGGTACTAGTTTCAAAGAAGTTATGGGTATAGTGTTAAAATGTATATTTTTAAAAATAACTGGAAATTATCATTTAACACCTTTATCTTTTCCTTAAAATTAGAAAACAATGTATATAAAAATATGGAAGAATCACAGGAAACCCACATATCCAACCACCTAGATGAAATTGTTGCTGCTGTCAGCATCACTCCTAGAAAGAAGACCCAAAACAAGCTGCCTCAGACAGCGTTGTTCCAGCCTCCTCAAGAGAAACTCCACCTCTGTGAAGAGAAAGCAAAGTCCTACACCAATAGTCATGAAGTAAGGAGGCTTTTGTTTTCCATACCTCATTCTGGGACTTGAGCTATAATATGTAATTAAGAAAAGTAGGATATTTTAGGTTACATTTCTAATCTCAGGAGTTTGATACAAGGGAGTATATAAGAGAGTACCTTTTTTATAGCTTGAGTGAGTGTAGTATCTCAGGACAGTAGCTACTGGTCAATAGCAGGTGGCACGGTCAACAGTAAATACTTGTTGAGCTCCTGCTATGTGCCAGGTCTAGGCACTGGGATATGACCCAAACAAAGCAGATGAAGCTTCTACTCTCACAGAGCTTCATCTGCTCTATGAATAAAGGGATGTTTAGCTACCTGCTTAGCTCTAGGAAGTGAGCTTGCAGATGACTTTTGGTTTTCATCTTTTTGCTTATCTGTATTTTGACAATGAGCATAAATTATTTTTGTAATAAGAAACATGTTACTGTAGACAAAAAGCCACGGCTCACCTTCTTTCAGCACCACAGGGTGAGCATGTGTCCCTCAGCTTCCTCTTGCTTAGGTTACAAAAATGACTCTTGTGGTCAACTGTCTGGCTGTGTATTTTTGTCAAGGAGAATGTTGTTTCAGGCTGAACATGTTCCTAGTGCATATGGGAATTGTGTGATCATGCAGGCCCTTTGAGCTTCGGCATTGACTGAGTGCATCCCTGGTCTTCTGGATCTTCTCCCCATTCTGTCCTTGTTCTTACATTTCTTCCTCTGCTTTGTCCCCTTCAGCTTTCTTTCATTAGCCATTTTACCTCCCACCTCTCTTGCTGTTCTGGCTGTCTGTCACTACATAACACCCCAAAACTTAGTGACTTAAAACAAAAACAACCCTTCATTTTGTTCATGAGCCTGCAGTTTATGCAGAGCTCTGTGGGATGTTGTCAGCTTTGCCTTATGCAGCAATAGCTGGGCTGAACAAGCATGGCGAATCTACTGCCAGGATGGGTCGCTCAGACTCTCTGTGCCTTTCTATGTGGTCTCTCCGTAGGACCACTTAGGCTTCCTCACAGCATGGTGGTTGGCTTCTGTGTTAGTTTGTAGGGCTCCCACAACAAAATACCACAGAGTTGGTATTAAACAACAGGGTTCATTTTCTAACAGTTCTGGAGACTGGAAGTCCAAGATCAAGGTGTCAGCAGGGCTCGATTTCATTCTAAAGCCTCTCTCCTTGGTTTGCAGGTGGCTGCCCTTTTGCTTTGTCCTCATATGGTCTTTTCTCCACGTGTGCACATATCCCTGGTGTCTCTTCCTCTTGTATATAAGGATACCAGTCATTTTGGACTAAGATCCACCCCAAGGGCCTCATTCTTAGTAAATCATCTCTTTAAAGACCTTATCTCCAAAAAGAGTTATATTCTAAGGTACTGGGAGTTGGGACTTCAACATATGCATTGGGGGTGGGGGACAGTCCAGCCTATAACAGGTTTCAAGAATGAGTACCCAAGAAGAGACAGAATGTGGAAGCCACCAGTTCCTTAAGACTTGGACCTGAAAACTGGCACTGAAATATTTTCTCTATATTGTATTGGCCAAACAGGCATAAAGCCGAGATTTAAAGGGAAGGAAACATAGACCCCCATCTGTGGATGGAAGGAGTGTCAAAGAATTTTGGAGCTGTGTTTTAAAACTACCAGCTTTGTTTCGAGTATACTGCTGCTCTGAGATGACCTGGAGCTGGGACTCCACAGTTCCCTATTCTCTTTGTCCTAGCCCTAAATGAAAATGTGCTTCTCACTGCTTGAATAAAGTCTGTCTGTCAGTCTCGCTGATCTCATTTGCTATGCTAGGATCATAGGCTGCTAAGGAAAGTTTTGAATTGAGAGCTAAAGTGTATTATTTGAAAACCACTACCACTTGCTCACTTATTGTGTCTGAATATATAGTAGCTGTTCATTGATGGGCAGCTGGAAGACTTAGAGAACGATTAGATGTCTGCTCTGCTTTTTCTATTCTTTCATTATTCCATTACATTTTTCACCTTTAAATGTACTATAAATTGTACTTATTTCTTATGCTTATTTTCTGTTTCATCCTACCAGATGAACATCTACCACTCAAATCTTTGTCTCTTTTGTTCTCTGCTATATTCTAAGTGCTTAGAACCATGTTTGGCACAGAGTAGGCACTCAATAAATATTTATTGAATAGATAAAAATACAAGTGGATTTTGTGCTTTATGACCCTTCAACTTTAAGTTGTCTAACTGGCCAGCCCATTTTCTCTTCCTAACAGTATAAACAGGCTATCCACGAGCTTGTGCGTTGCGTAGCACTGACGAGAATTTGCTATGGTGACTCGCATTGGAAACTAGCAGAGGCACATGTTAACCTGGCTCAAGGCTACCTCCAGCTGAAAGGTGAGCTCATCTCAGACTAGGGGGATCAGCTGGTTGGTTTCTGCTGTTCTCCCCAAGTTTGATTCACACTTAACTAGAAGGATAAGGTTTTTGGATATTCTCCTTTCCAAATATTGAGAAGCCGTTTCCCTGTAGTCAGTAAGGTATATAACATATATATATTCAAAGGGAAGAAATATGGTAACTCTTCTGATTTTGCTTTTTATAATCTTAAAAGTAGAATTCTTAGGAGAGAATTAATCTTTTAGGTCAGAAGGCATTGTAGAAAGAACCCAAGGCATGGAATAGGGGCCCAGAATGGATCCATTCACATTTTTATTGGAGAGTCTCTTGTCTATAAGTAACGAAAAAGATAAAATAAAGGACTAACCCAAACTGGCATAAACAAAAATTTATTGGCTCATAGAACTTAAAAATTCAAGGGTAGAATTTGCTTTAGACTTAGCCATATCCAGTTGTTCAATGTGACTGGGATTCAGCTTTTCTCTTTTCCCACTGCTTGGCTCTCTTTTTCTTGGTATTGGCTCCATTCTTGGTCAGGATTTGCCCACATGGCAGTAGCAAGGCTGCCAGCAGCTTTAGGCTTCCCTTCTAAGCATTCCCAGGAGAAAAAGAATGTCTTTCCCCAGGATTTTGAGGGGTTCTAATTGGACCAACTTGGGTTGTATACCAAAGGCAAGGAATAGTCTGATTGGCTAGACCTGCCTTTTGACTCCATTGGATCCTGGGGAGAAGCTGGCCTTGGCCAAGTCACATGGACTGGATGTGCAGGAGCCAGGCATCCTAAAGGGCAAACAGAAGAAGGGAGAATGGGTACAGGGAAGGCAAAGACAACAGATACCTGGGATATGATGTCTTCTACTCGCTGCCTGTGTAACCTAGGACAAGGTGTGCAAGAGCACGTGTCTGCACTCAGCTTCTTCAACTGAAAAGAGATGATAAGGATAATGGTGATGCTAACTTCCCAGGGTTGACCCAGTGAATAGAGAAAATGCTAGAAATGGAAAACACTACAATGCCAAACATAGATAGAATTGCCACCCAATAAATTTGGCCAAACCCGATTTTAGACTGGTCCTACCTGTTAAAGCAAAGACTGTTAGAGTCAGAGCAGACCTTGGAGATCATCTGATTTAAACCCTGCCTCCACCCCATATTTGAATTGAGAGGAAACAATGAGTGTGAATTAAAACAGCTTGCCCCAGATCACACTGTTAATAAGTAGCTGATCTGAGACTCAGACCTAGAATTTCAAATGCCAGTTCCAGTGTCTTGCCATCTGTGGTTTCAAATGATGCTTTTCTTCGACAGCCTGCTGCCTCTCTGCATGACAGTCCATCTTTCTCAATTTAAAGTAAAAGCTGGGCCAGGTACAGTGGCTCACACCTGCAATCCTAACACTTTGGGAGGCCAAGGTGGGGGATCACTTGAGGTCAGGAGTTTGAGACCAACCTGGGCAACATAGCAAGGCCCTGTCTCTACAAGTAAATAAATAAATAAAATCAGCCAGGTATGGAGACATCAGCCAGGTATGGAGTCTCAGCTACTTGGGAGACTGAGGCAGGAGGATCACATGAGCCCTGGAGTTAGAGGTTGCAGTGAGCTATGCTAGTGCCACTGCCCCCCAGCCTGGGCAACAGAATGAGAGCCTATCTTGAAAGAAAGAAAGGGAGAAGGTGGGGGGAGGGGGAGAGAGGAAAGAGAAAGAGAAAGGGAAGGAAGGAAGGCAGGGAGGGAGGAAAGAAAGAAGGAAGAGCAATATCTATTGTTTATTAAGGTCTCATTGGATGACAGGCACCATGCTGTTTTCCAGGCATAACCTCATTCAGTCTTCACCACAATCCCATGAGATTGTGGTAAAGGGGCATTATTATTTTCCCTGTTGACAGCTGAGGAAGCTGAGGCCAATGTTTCGTAGTAAGTAGTGGAGCAGGGAGTCCATTCTGGACAATCTGACTTTAGAGCCATGATGTTCCTCTTTTTTTTTTTTTTTTGTGAAACAGGGTCTCACTCTATCGCCCAGATGAGAATGCAGTGGCGTTGTCATAGCTCACTGCAACCTCAAACTCTTGGGCTCAAGTGATCCTCCTGCCCCAGCCTGCCAAGTAGCTGGGACTACACGTGCACACCACCATGCCTAGCTAATTTTTTCTATTTTAGTAGATACGGGGTTTCGCTCTTGCTCAGGCAGGTCTAGAACTTCTGACCTCAAGCAATCCTCCCACCTTGGCCTCCCAGAGTGCTAGGATTTCAGGCATGAGTCACCACACCTGGCCCCAGTGATGTTCTTGAACCTCAACCCCGGAAGACTGAGTTCAAGTTCCTTAGTAGAATGGACCACAGCTGAAAATTCCTTCCACTATGCCTTTTGTAATATCACGAGCACAATTGGCACTAGAATAATAAGTTTCTGGGAGGTTGATTAAGTATGTGCTTTTAAAAAAATAATAAGACAACATTCTGTAAGAGTTCCCACATGAAAAGCATACCCGTGATTTGCTCCATTAGAAAATATATTCTTCTTGTTTTATAGACATAGGAACAGAATTAACTTCATATTTTGACAGCTTTTTTAGAGATTTGAGATACAATTCTGCATAATTAAGAACAGAGGACCAGGGGTGTATGGATGTGAGTGGAGAGGGTTGTCAGTGTCGGGGAGGAGGATGGGAATTTAGGGAGGTGCAAAGCCCTGAAACCTGGCTGGCGATCCCAGTGTCACCTTCCCACAGATTAGCAAGCCCCAGGAAGAACACTGGAACACACTGGGGAATTCATTCTTGGTAATACTTTTATTCTCCATTTTTTTTCATATTAGTCTATTGCCAAATGGGAATAAGAAATTGATGCGTGTTAGTCTATTGCCTCATTGGAATTGTGTTTGTAAGTTTTTTTAGATATCCTCATATTTGTATTATGTTAAAATAACTCCCTGACATTATGATTATAGGTGGGTGAGAAGATTCAAAATTTTTAGTATTTTGTTGAGATTGTTGTCACCAAGCCAGGATTAAAATTCATGAATATCTTGTTTCCTGCCTGGAATGCTATAGTCCTTGTATTCCATTTGTTTTTTATAATTATTTGTAACATGTTTTACTTCTGATTTTGGGTGAGGTTTCAAAGCTGTTCAATTCCAGCTCATTCTGCTTATTTTATTTCTGTAAAGACCATTTTGGGGGAAATTTATCTTGAGTATTCAGTATCAAACACTTCTTTGGTTGTTACAGTTATAACACTATTTCATGCTGGCCAGATACATCTCCATGTGCCACTTGCCAAAATGTGAAGGAGACCTCGTTAGATTCCCTGCCGTATTCCTGTCCAGTTGACATTAATGAAGAATTGAGACCTGTTTTTCTTTGTCCACAGGACTGTCACTGCAAGCAAAACAACATGTAGAAAAAGCCAAAGAAATCCTCACTTCCTCCATTGTGCCTCCCTATAATGACAATACGGATGTTTTCAAGTTTTCCATTGAGCTTTTCCATACCATGGGGAGAGTCTTCCTCTCCCTCCAAAAGTATCCTTTTGCCTCTGATCTTTACAAATATATATACTGCTCATAGAATGTTTCATTCTCAAGGCCAAATAAAAAGCTGATAGATGACCCAGAAAGGGTAGTAGGAAGTACGGGAGACAAGGAAGTGCAGGACCTGGGGTCCTAGAACCTAGAGAACCATTGGAAAGTTTCCTGAACACAATTCAGGTTCAAGGAAGCTTCAGAAAATTTGGCAAAAGCAGAGAGACTTTCAAAGGAGCTGCTACAATGTGGAAGGATTATAAAGGAAGAATGGATAGAAATTCAAGCACGGATCAAACTGTCATTTGCACAGTAAGTTTCAAGTTTAGGACTGCGTATGATGATGGCTGGAGGTTCTTTGCCAGTAGAATCTGTCTTAAGGTGCGAGGAGTTTCTCCATGGGGCTGTGTCCTTGCCTCTGCCATTGTCTAGAAGTAAAAGAAGAACAGAGTCATATCAGAGCAGCCCCAACTAAGACATCCATCCATCAGTGACACTTTTCGATGTGCAGTGCCCTCATAGCCACCCTAAGCCCCAGAGTTCTGATCATGATTCTCTTGACTTTCTTCCTGTCTGCTCTCCCTCCTCACCCCCTGCCCCTTTGGCCTTCCCTTCCTCCCGCCCTTCCTACCTCCCCTCTACTGTACCAGTCTAAAATCCTTCAGTAGATTGATTTTTATGATTAGGGCCTCGAAGGAGAAAGATCTTAAACATATCTGAATCCATGATAATGAGAGGATCGCTCTTTGCCCCTCACTCCACTCCACACTCACCAGAGAAACCCAGCTGGAAGAGATATAAAGAGAAGATGGTGTGTCTTGGATAGTTAGTACATTTATTCCTCCCCGAAGGCCAACCCTAAGCTAATTCCTCAGAGTATTGGGATGACAGAGGATGCCTAAACTCTTTGGAAAGATGGACTTATAGGGAGAAGAGGGTGGAGGAAGATCTATTCTAGAAGAGACAGAGAATCCCAGTTAGCCTACATGGCTACCCTTAGCCAAAGCCTGAAGAATTCAGTTTACCTTCATAGCCAGACTGCCTGCAGAGGCTGATTCCCAAGAGAACCAACAGAATCGTTTTAAGAAAGGTGTTAGGAAAGGGCCCCAAGAGAACACACCTAATGCTTCCATCTGAATGGAAACTAGGAAGGACCAACTTTGACTCATGCTTTTCAAGGTATTTCTTTTGTGATCAAAGTTCCCCCTGTTAATTTATTTTATTTGGGTGTTTTTTGGACTGCAAGTGCGGAGCTCATATGTCATGCAAGCCCTCTGGTATGCTTTTTTAAATTAATTTTTTTCCTTTATCTATGATCTCCACTCTCATGCTCCCCAACAACACACCATAGATATCTATTTTAATGATGGTTTATGTCTTTGAATATGTATCTTTGAATAATAAATACTGTTTATTGTAGTTATGTTTTTTAAGTTTGTATAAATTGTCACTGTATATCTCGTTCTGTTTGTTACTTTTTAACTATCCAACACTTCTGTTGCCTGTACTTTAGTTCATTGCTTCTGACGCCTACATAGTGCCCCATAGGATTAACAGGCCACATTTTGCTTATCCATCCTCCTAGCATATTCAGCTTGTCCTCAGCTCTCTGCTCCCACAGCGGTGCTGCCATGACCATTCTACACAGCTTCACTTATGTAGCTGAGCAAGACCTTTTCTGAGGTTTATACCCCCAGGGTGGTATTGCTTGCTCACAGGGTACAAACATACTTCAGGTTCAATAAGCACTGGCCAATTGCTATACCTCTCTGCCTTCCCACTTGCAAGGCAGGCGGGTTCCTATTTTCTCACATCCCCAACAGTATTTGGCACTGTCGATCTTTCTAACTGTTACCAACTTGATGCCAGTAATGTGCTATCTAATTATTTAAATTCTATTTACATTTCTCCTATTAGTGAGTTTGAATACCTTTCATGTACTTCTTAGACATTTGGGATTCCCCTTCTTTTTTTTCTTTTTTGAGACAGGGTCTTGTTCTGTTGCCTGGGATAGAGTGCAGTGGCATAGCTCACAGCAACCTCACACTCCTGGGCTCAAGTGATCCTCCTGCCTCAGCCTTCCAAGTAGCTGGGATTACAGGCGTGCGCCACCATGCCCAGCTAATTTTTCCATTTTTTGTAGAGATGGGGGTCTCGCTCTTGCGCAGGCTGGTCTTGAACTCCTGACCTCAACTGATTGTCTTGCCTCAGCCTCCCAGAGTGCTAGGATTATAGGAGTGAGCCACCATGCTCGGTTCAGGATTCCCCTTCTATCAATAGCCTGTTAGTATTCTTTCTCATTTTTTCTTTTGGAGTTCTCTGTACCTTTCCTATTGATGGTTAAGATTTTCTTGTATATTATAAATATTAATGATATTATAAATATTTTCTTATATCTATTGCCCATTTATTAATTTTGTCTATGGTGTTCTTCGTAGCATAGAAATTCTTAATTTTGCTAGAGTCAAATCCATTCGTTTTTGCCTTATAAATTACGTTTTGCGAGTTTGTTTAGAAAGTCTTCCTCACGCAAATATCAAAGATATTCTCCAAAATTTCCCTCTAATACTTGCTTTAACTCTACCCCATATGTTTTAACATGTAGCATTATTACTGTTAGTAAGTTCTTAGTATTTCATAACTTACTCTTTAGTCCAAAGATTATCCAAGTGATGTGTGTTTTAGTTTGCAGATATGTTTTTCAAGGTATCGCATATTACTGCTTTCTAATTTTATTGCATTATGGACAGAAATTTATTTGCATGGAATAAACTCATTGAAATTTATTGAAGCTTTCTTTGTGACCTAGTCCATGGGCAATTTTTGTGAATGTTTCAAATATGCTACAAAAGAAATTGTATTCTTTGTTTGTTGTGTGTAATGTTCATAAGTCTGTATTAGGTCGACCTTATTAATTCTGTTATTCAAATTTACATCTTTGTTTATTTTTTGCCCATTTGATATATTAGTTTTTAAGATAAGTATATTTAAATCTCCAGCCGCAATTATTAATCTATCTGTAGCTCCTCGTGGTTCCACCAGTCATTGTTGTTTATATTCTGAGGCTATTTTGGGGTGGGCAAGTTCAATAGCAGCTTGTCTTCTTAATCTATTATTTCATTGATCAGTATATCTTATCCTTTTTTGTCCCCCTATATTTATGTCTATTTTGTCTGATAATATACCCTAGCTCTCTTTTGGTACAAATTTTCCTATAATATCTTTTTCCATCTTTTTAAAAGTATTTGGGTTTAAATTTCCTTTTGTCCTACCAATTTTATGTTCCTTTCTTAATCCTTACTTGTTTTCCTTTAGATTAATCAAATATTTTTTAATTCCATTTTTCTTCCCATTAACTTGTAAGTTGAGCATTTATTTTCTTTTTCTTCTAGTAGTTACTATAGAGTTTGTCTCTTCTATCCCTGACTTATTAGAATTTAATTGTAAATCAGTCATTCAACTACTTCCTGAACAATGCAAGGACCTTTGAGCATGCTAACGCTCTTTATCCCCTCTGCTTGGTGATATGTTGTCCTGTATTTAAATCACTGTATGTTTTATACCACAGGCAAGCACAGAGAGGAAGAAAATATTTGTAATACATATAACTGACAAAGGGCTTATGTCTAGAATCTATGAAGAAACCCCATATATCAATAAAACAAACAACTGAATAGAAAAATGGGTAAGAGACTTTTCCAAAAAAGGGCACACATATAGCTAATAAACATATTGAAAAGTGTTCCATCTCATCAGTCATCAGGGAAATAAAAACTAAAATCATAAAAGATACCACTACATACCCACTAGAATGGCTAAAATTTTTAAAAAGACATAATATCAAGTGTTGGCAAGGATGTGATACTCTGATATGCTCTCTCATATGTTGCTGTTTGAAATATATTTGGTATAACTACTTTAGAAAACTGTTTGGCATTATCTACTAAATTTGAACATTTGCATACCCTTTGACCCAGCAGTATCACTTGTAAATATACATCCAGCAGAAATGCATGCATATGTTCACCAAAAGACATTGCCAGAATGTTCAAAGCTACATAATTCGTAATAGCCAAGAGTTGGAAACAGCCCAAATGTTCATCAAAAATAAAATAGAAAAAAATGTGATTTGTTCCTAGAAAGAAAGTGATCAAACTACTCCTTTGCTTAACATCCTGGATGACTCGCACAAACATAATGTTTAGTGAAAGAAACCAGGCCCCAAAGAATCATACTATACAATTCCCTTTATATAATGGGAGGAGGAAGAGGGCTATTAGGAAGGCTTTACCAGTCCAGAAGGCTTTACCAATCCAGAATCTCTTTCGTGCCCAGAATTACATATTCTATCTTGTAAGACAGGAAATATACAAATCAGAGGTCCAAGGTTTGACATTTGTGGCATCTGGTGAGACGTGTTAGTATTTAATGTTGCTCAGTGTTGCTACAAAATAGAGTAAATTAACCTCTGCCAGAATCTGGCACTTCCTCTAGGAGTGTTTTCCAAATTAGCAGTACCAAGCCTTGCCAGCAGATGGCGGGCCTTGTACATATCTGTGCTGAATACCCAACAAGAATTTAATATCCCAGAGTGTCCTGCAAAGTTACTTTTGTGTTTAGCCAAGTTGTTTCAAACTTCGCTGCTTCTTTTCATCCCAATTCTTCACCCCCAACATATTCACCACAACATGCGTGTTTAAATTGCATCATTTTCATTCAATTGCTTTTCTTTGTTTCATGAAAATGTGAATATTTTGCCCAAATTGATCTGCTTTAGAAATGAACAGGCTTGGATTTTGTACATTTCTGTAGTTATACTTGAACCACGAGGGACTTTTCTTTTGCCAGGTCTTGGAGGTAGAAGGCCAGGATAATTTCTCAGGCAGCTCTCATAGGATTTATGTCCCTCTTAAAAAGGATGTCTTTTAGTGTATCCTTCTCCTCTTCCTGCCTCTCCTTTTATGGTGCCCATCATGCCCTCACTGAGCCTTTCTCCTCGGGCTGACAGATCAGTGCTGAAGGGTGACTCATGCTCTGTGCCTTCCATCCCTGACTATGGCTGCAGCCTTTTCCCTTCTACCTCCCCTCCTCTGTTTCAGCACTACTTCATTCAGTATTGATATCTTAACTTTGGAGAATGAATCCCAATCATGTGTTCCTATGTATGCAGTTATATCTCTTTAAATCTGGTAAAGAAAGTCACTAGTGCAAACAGGCAAACTTTTCCCCAGTGTTAAGAATTATTTTCTTTCTTTGTTTTTATTTTCTAATTTTTTTTAAATTATTTTTTAGAGTTTGTCAGCCAGGCTACA